ATTTTTCAGCTTCTTTCAGCTACCCAATGTCTTCAAATATGAAAAGATTTGAAATAAATGGAATTAAAATAAGATTAAAACAAATTTAAAATAAAATATGAAGGAATTATGCAACTTCCAAATAAAGTTGGTATGGACGGTGAAGGTGGCACTTCACCAGAAACTCCATGGTTGTAGTCTTGTAGATTTAAGGTGTCTATGCAGTTAATCACTACGTTATTTTGTATTCCCTCCCTCCATAAATTTTCTTCACACTTTCCTTATTTGTCCGTCCATTAATTTTTATCGTCTTTCTTTTTCCGGCATACTTTTTAATGTGAAATGCCTTAATTAGCCCCAAATGTCTTTCTTCCAAATCTCCTTCGTCCAGCTATAAACAAACTCGGTGAATGAAATGTCAGAGATCTAAGTGTCGTCCCCCAAATCTCCTTCAAATTAAATCAACTTCTTCCCTTGGATTTCCTTATGAACTACTCCCTCCGTCCCATTTTATAACGCCTATTTCGGTTTACGATGTTTGACTGAAGTTATTTTCAAATCATTTTATATGACAAATGGTATAGAGTTAAAAAATAAAAATTACATATCAAAATACTACATCAAAAGATCTACAAAACTAGTAGTGACAACAATATTTTATTTTATCAAATTGCTAACGAAAATAGAGAAAGAAAGTGAATGAAGTTTGACCCTGTGAATAGTGAACAGGCATTATAATTTGGGACGGAGAGAGTATGAAGTACCATCATCGCTTTCCATTTTTTCTTTCACTTTTTGAAGTTTCATTTCTCAGAGTTTCTCAAGGGTTTGTTGGATGTCTGGATCTAAAGACCATAGATCTAAGCTACCACCATTAATTACGGCGAATTAATGCAATCTTCGGTGGGGTTGGAGCGAACAAAATAATGGATCAATAACGATGAAGGGCGGCAAAAGGACCTATGATCTATCTTAGATCTCCCAAGGTGAAACTTTGGGCGGTCCACCATTTTTCCTGGCCCCATTGTCTGATAGCATGCAGAGTTTTCCGGTGGCCATGTTCGATAGTGTGCAGCAGTGCAGTGGAGATGCTCCAGCTTCTTCCTCAAGCTTATGTGTAGGGGTAGAATTGGAAACTCAATGTAAATTGAACTATTCTTAACCTCCGTACCCGGTCATAGTGTGAAAGAAATTAATGGACAGAGGGAATAGTTGCTATCTGGGAATTCTGGTTGGCCCTCGTTTCAATCTCAAAGGCACGAGCACTGAATGTCCGCAATCATCCAACATATTGCATGTGATTATTTCACCCATCCACATACCCTTAACACAAATAATAACTTCAACACTTCTTTCCAGACATTTTTACTTTACTTATTTGTAGAAAGTGTGTAGCTCCAGTGCAACTAGTTTATGGAACAAAGAGCCCCACTTAATGAACTGATGATTGCTTGATGAAATGATCATGTCTCAGAGGCTAGTACGTGTTATACCCCTGGATGGCTCCACCAAAACCTCAAACCATCCCTAAACATCCAAAATGCCGTGTCTTTTATTTCCTTTCAAATAAAGTCTTCCTCCACTTATTTTAAGTCCCTTAACCGAAAATAAGAAGACCACTTTTATTTCTTTTTTTAAAGCTTTAAATAATCAAATAACACACTTCCCTTCTTGTTCCTACATAGGGATGAAATTCCAGTCCCATTTGGTTCCTAAAATCCAACCAAAATTACCATTTACCACAAAGGGAAAAAATCAGCAAAAAGAGTCTAAAGTTGAATAGTAAAAGTTTCTCCTTTTGTTGACTAATTTCACAACCAAACATGTAGTGTACCTTCCTCACCTTTTCCCCTACAAAAGGCCGAAAACAATCCACCAAATACAGCCTAGAATATCTTCATATTAAGTTTCAAATTATCCTTCTTGATTTTGTGTGCATAAGGCCGAAAATCCATAACTCATTTTAAGCCAAA